TGGCGAAAAGCGAAATAGTTTTGAAGTCTGGAAGATATTAATTGAAGTTAAAACGTTGCTGAGAATACTCAGGAATTAGAATCTTTTTTTTATCTTATGAATGTGACAATATTCGATATTTTGTTTAAATCATATATAATCTAATTCATATTTCTTTTCTCTAATTATAAAATTTATTTTAGCTCTGCGGTATTAGATTGTAATTAATACAGTATAGATATTCTACGCATTGCGAATTTATTATTATCTGTTTATATTTAAAATTAAATAAATTTTGTGCCAAGTTACTTTTTAGAAAAATTATATCATTTTAATACATATCAAAAATTTTTCAGAAACTCTAATTTCAATTACTAATTTCTAAACGATTAACATCGTGCTAGGACACAAATGTCCTAATTTCGTTATTAAGTATTGGATCAGCAAGATTCACACGTTGGATTTGAATCGAATTGATCATTGCATGCACACCGTGCAAATTTTAAAGTAAATCACAAATGCAATCGTTCTCTGTGAGCGTAACAAAGCATGTTTATGGTAGTCCACGTTGTTAGCGTCTACATGCACTTCAGTTAACAAACAACAAGTGTGCAACAACTGTGTCAGCAGTGTACTTAATCTAGCGGTCTATCGGTCGTCGTAACGAGTTAGTTACACTTCTGCTAACAGAGTAGTTAGAATTACATAGCTAGTAGTCGATAATAACGTGGTCGACTGATCAATGAATGCAATCGAAGTATGCTGGATATTACATAAACTAAGTGCTCATGATGAGAAAGGGGAATGAGAAAGGAAATAAATCAGTTTTGATTCATTTATTTGAGCATTTGGTATTCTCTAGTAATGTTGTCTATGGGTCATTTTTAATTAACCTAGTTATACACACTGGAAGAAAATCCAATTTGCTAAATCGAGATTTTTTACGTATTTCTAAACTTTTCTTTTTCTCTGAACCTATATATATATATATATATATCTCGAAACTCCTTAATTCTATTGACTTTTACACATTATGGACTTGTTTCTTAATCAATTCTTTATCGAGTGAAAAAAAATTAATTAAAATATGTCTATTTTTACGAAAGTTACGGTAACAAATATAGATGGCGTCTCCGGGACTCGAGTGTGTATATCAAGGGTAGAAAAAAAAACGTGTATAACTATAAGGATTATGAAATAAGATAATCTTTAATTTTTGAAAAATATTTTAAGTATTGGTTTAAGTTCGTCTTAATTCTTATTTTAACAGAATTTACTTCAATAAGCATACTATTTAATCTCGTAGTATATAAAGCTACGATATTTTTATATTTCGTCAAAATATTACATTTCATGGAAATATAAAAATTGTAGACAGTTTTAAAAATATAAGAATAAAACGTTGATGTAGCGGAATGCTTATAAAATTGAATAAAAAAGCATGTTTGTAAGTGAAAAAAAATGTGAGTGAAAAAAATGTGAGTGAAAAAAATGTGAGTGAAAAAAAGGAGAAATTGCAAGAACAACGTGAAATCCTTCTAATTACTTTAATAGCATATCATGCGACCTTCTTGCTACTTGCACGAAATTGAGTTGCACGTTGGCCGAATTGATATATTATACATGTGTATCATACACTGTATGTGTATTATACATGTGTACATATGTGTGCGTATGTGTATTTGTATATATAGTACATATGCATATACGTATATGTATGAAGAAAAATGCGTTTCCGAGACTAAAGGAAAAGGGGAATGAGTAATGGCGGACAATTGCATTGCTTTCGATTTCCGCGAAAACGAAATGCATGTCCAAATACCGGGGTAGCATGTTGGTTTCGCACCCGCAATGCGGAGGCGGCCGAAAATTGCTTTTTGATGAGTCCTTCATTTTCGATACATCGTAGTACGGGGGAAAAAAATATTTCAGATCGCATTTCAGGTCGCATGTCAACGACATCACGATGCAACACTGCAGCACATTTCTGCGATTATTCTCTCGTGTCCTCTTCTAATTTTTTCGTACATTGTATATTTTCGTTTGCTGTCGTTAGTGAGCAAACATTCATTAAAAAATGTACGGGATGCAAACATTTGTTTATTCCTTTATTTATATGCTCGGCAAGCATACATAGCATTTGTAAAAGCGCCAAGTGTGCTTTTTGTACCTAGAAGTGTATGTCGATATGACATTAAGAGCCATTTTGTTTTTTTGCGGCTTAAATAAATTTTGAGCACCCTGTAACCATGAAATTTTCGAGCGGACTTTTTACACGTCCTTTTTGATAAAACGAGTAATTGTAATCGATTTCGCACATTGCTCGCAACTATTTTGGTACTCAAAGATTTAATTTGATTGTGAAAAATTCATTATAGAATATAGGCCTTTATTTATTTTGAATTATTACATTTACGTAAAATGATTTAGAAATATTGAAACCATTTTACAAGAGTTACGCAGCTTATATTTTAGCTTAGCAAAATAGACTTTACCATTTACTATAATTTATTGTCATCAATAAAATTAAAAAAGAACCTTATTTTCTTCTTTTTTAAATATTAAAAGTTTTTACAAGTTGTAAATCATTCTCTAAATAATCAATTTTTGTTCCGAAATCCGATTATTAAGTTGATAAATATAATATATATTTTTCTCTCTCTCTCTCTCTATCTGTTTCTCGTGTACACTCTTTTACTTTTATTGTTTGAAAAGTTTTTTAAATTTATTTCGATATATATATATAGAAAATCGAAGAGATATTTTAAAATAGTAAGGAAATTGTCTCTTTTTTCTATCCAATCTAATTTTCTATAAATTCTACAAATTAATGATTCTATAAATTCGAAACAAGGCAGCCATGTGTAAAGATAATCCGGTATTCTCCAGAAAAAGCAGACGCGTGGCACTTTGTAGACAGTTGATCCGTTCATGTATCAATGTGCATGTGCGCAGATCTTGGCTGGTGAGTTGCCAATACATGACACGTACGTACTTCTTTTTCCTCCAACGCGGGAAAGAAGTCGGACCCGCGGCTCGCGACTGGATTTACGGGGTACTGACCGATTTGCGGGCGGCGAAAGCATCGCGATTGAATTGTTGATGAAGCAAAGTTAATGATGATACGCGCGCGTCGAAACGTATTCATTTAAAATCAAGTTAATATTTATTTTTTCGTATATTTTCACTTTATCAGTTAAAAATGGCTAAGTGAATTTTTTAATCTTATCGAATATGTTAAGAAAAAAATCGTTTTTTAACCTTAGAATGACATCAATATGTAAATTTTATGTACAAGTGAACCATTGAACGCTGAGTTATATAATAATAGCTATACCTTAATTAGAAGGTTCAATCTGCAATGCTAAAGCTAAGACAAACGGAAACAAGTTTTTAAAAATCTTGTCTTTTTATTTACAAATTACCACTATTATACAAATGATATTATATAAATAATAATAAAACTAATAAATGTTAATATAATTTTTTAAATTAAATATTAATTCCAGGCTATATATATATAAAAAAAGTTAAGAACTATGCAATCTAAATACGAAACATTAATATATTCGATTTCAATATAATTATATATAATTCTATCTATAGGTTTTATCGAATTTTTTCATTATTTTCATTTTCGATTCCACCTAAGTTATTTAATTTATGACTAAACAATCTTATAATTTAGCCATCATCTTCTATTCGTTGTCGAAATTAGTTTGCAAAATAAATTTTTCCTCACACGCGTGGCGTTTGTCGCATGTTTTGCATGATGGATGATGACGTTCCGACACTATCGCAACAGAGCTTCGATTGCATGCCGTCGCGACGAAAAAAGCTCAGGCCCGCTATACGAAGAGCATGCCGTCCGGGATCTCACGGCCGACAATCGCCCATAAAACCCGACTTTGAGCCAGGGTCGGTATCGTGATCCAATCACAAATCAATTTACCTGCCATCCCGCGCGGATACGATAAAAAAATTTCGCTACCGAGATACGTCCTCCGGTCATCCGCGATACGCCAATGTCTCTCTCACGTTCTCGCGTATTAAAAATCGATAGCATCGTATGTGCACTCGCCGTTCATAATTTCCAAAAGGTACAATTAAAAAACTTAAGTTGCTACTATAAGGGTGAAAAGATGGCAAAAATTAATAGTTCTAATTTACGATAAAAAGTTATTTTGTTTTGATTGGTCCGATAGTATTAGTTAAAAAATCGCAAAATATGATGGATGTTAAATAATTTTTAATAGAATTATCTTTTTTACAGTGTAAAAAGATTTAATTATTGCCGCTTTTTCGCGATGGTTGATTGGTTCTTTCATTTGGTTCATTTCATCATAAGAAATAAGTATTAAGTAGGTATATTTTAATAAGAATTCGAACGAGTATTTAGTACATCTTGATAATATAAATTTGCAGATATAACATAAAGAAAATTGAATTGTTTGACATTTTTTACAAAGATATTTATAATTGGACGCATCTAAAAGGTTTGCTGTCCAGATTAATTGTGCAGGTACATCAATATGGATGGCGTGCGCACACACACGCACACATTTCTTTTAAATTAAATACATATTAATTACATTGAATAAAATATATCGATTATATAATTATATAATTAATAAAATAATTATATAAATATTTATATAATTATATAGGTAATTAAATAACCAAATATTATATAATTAAAAATGATTTAAAACTATACTTCCATTTTTAACAAAGCTATGTAAGAAGTTGAATTGGATGCCGCCTTTCCGCTGTGCTGATTAGTTTTCTAGCTTGGCTCACTTTGTGCTGCCAGAGTAAGGGTGCCGTCCCATGTACACGGAATCGGTACGACGGAACGGATTTCTTACTAGAAATAAGTTCACTAAAATTCCATTCCATAAGAAGTTTCTCTGCTGTATCGGAATCACTGGAACCATGACCGAAACGATACCAAATCAACGGAATGTCATGTCGGTTGCATGTAGTTGCAGGCTATGTCGACCCGGCTATTTGAACGATTGTCAATAGTTGAAATTAAATAGTTGAAGTGAACTTGTGTCCAATAGATGAGCAAGGTTACTGCTAGCAAACACACCAGCATCGCTACGTCTTCCTTCTGCTCCAATGTCTACAATGCTAAAGCAACAATTTGCATCACTCACGGCAAGCAGATTTATACTATGATTGCCTTTATAATTACAGAAAGACGAGCCACTATTCGGTGATGCCTACAATTAACAATAATATAATAATAGATTTATTTAAAAATAGTTCAAAATATGTTCAAAAAATAGTTATATCAGATACATGCCTGAATCATAATGTGCTTTCCATCGACAGCTCCAATGCAGTTGGGAAATTGACAAATTCTCTCAAAATCGTCAGCAACCTTTTGCCAATTTTCATCAGTGGGTTGTAGAAAAACTCTATCTTTTAATATCTCCCACAATGCAGTGCAAGTCTCCTTTATGATTTTAGAAGCGGTATTTGCTCCAATATGAAATGCATATGAAAGAGGTGCCAAACTATCACCAGATGCTAACCAGCGTAAAATCAGTTGCAATCTTGTACGAGATGAAATTGGGACTCGACATAATTCTTGCTTCTCAATATGTAGTCCAATTAATGACAGCAATTTATCAAATAATTCTGGTGTCATTCTAAAGTAATTGAAGAACTTTTCACAATCGGTCGTTTGCATTTCAACGACTAAATTGTCACTTGCGCCTTGGAGACGCCTCATCCTTTGTGTAAACATTGGCCGTATCCAAAATTTTCGTTTTCTTGTATTTTTCTTTTGATGTTGTAATAAAATGTTATAAACGAAATACAATTTTCGTACTCTCTTAAATACCGGAATGGCACGCCAACTTGGCATATTTCTTGCATTTCACAATAATTTTAGCATTACAGATAACACTACTTCTTCATCCATCATTATAGATTTCTAAGAAAAGGTTTCTGAATAAGCATAATTTGTGCAATTATCTTTAACATTACTTTGAATACTCAAAAATACTGAATTATAAAAGTGAGATATATTTTGTTATCAAAATTCCATTGCGTTCCGGCTACATGGGACGGGTAGAGAAACTTCTTACGGAACGGAATTGTAGTGATCTTAAATTTTCTAGTAAGAAATCCGTTCCGTCGTTCCGATTCCGTGTACATGGGACGGCATCCTAACTGTCAATATAGGGATTTTGTATCTTGACAGCTCAAACATCAAACTATCGTGATTGTATAATTAATTTATATACTTAATTTTTGTAAAATGTAAGAAATAAAAAGTTAAGTAATACTCGCGTCTGTAGTCATCCACAAAAAGACGAAGATGAGGAATAAGTAAGTCAAATTTTAAACAGGATATTAATGTTTATAGAAAATGATTAGCGCCGAGACGCTACTGAATCTCTAGATAATCATTATATCTTCGAAATCATCAAGGGCACAAGACAATTTTGTGATACGTGCCACAGAAGTAGGGGAATTTGCATATCATGTTACAGCGAAGATCGCTATTTCAGAATTGCAATTTGCCGTTTTCTTTTCCGTCTCGCTACTTAATGCGGAGCCGACGGCTTGACATCTTATGGCAGTATCGGTGATTACGATATCTAGAGGATCTTGATTAGTTTCTCGACGATGTCTCGAAACTTTCGTCGTTAGCTAATTGGCGCTCTCGTGAAACCGCGTTGTTTGCGAGACCAACGCGACGTTGTATGCGCAACGTATCTGACACTCGATGCCGTGCGTCGCATCACCTTACTGTGAAACGCCGTAGATAACAGCTCATGACGAACATGCCATAATGAAATCTTAATTTACTTGATGATTTCCTAAATATCATCTTTGAGCTCGAGTATTACTAAACGTGATTCCTTTACATCAAACGTATTTTGTATATACTGAATTCTAATTTCCGATCATCTTCTAATGACGCGGACATTTTGCTGTTAATTTTTCTACTAATAAATATCTTAATAGTCAGATATTTAAAAGATAATCCTTATTGAAGACATTCTCTCTTTATCAAAATAATGATTTTTTGGTATCTTTTTACATTTTTTAAATGACAGAAATAAAAGAAAAATAACAATTATAAATTTATATTATTAATTAAATATTTGCTCTTGTACACACACATGCACACGCACACATACATATACATATTATACATATTATATATAGATATATATCCGGATAGCTTAAAAAGTCTACATCCCAAAATCCGAACATAACTGCCAATGTTCGATTGGAATGTGACGAGCAATTTGCTGACATGTAGGTACTTAAAAACGCAATTGTAATAAAATTAGTGAATTTATCTTCAATTAAGTATAAATTTATAAAGTATAAAATAATACAATATAAAAACTCTGTAATCTCGTTTTTTTACTAATTTTTAATTGTTTTCTTTACAGCTTCTTTTTTTTATAATAAAATAATTTCTAATTATAACATAATAATTATTAATACTGTAAAAGTAATATTAAATAAATAGTTTCAATGAAATAAATATATTTCTCACGAATAAGTTTTTAAGTATCTTTTTCTCAGTGTGCTTCTCCATTCAAAATTCGGATTCAGAATAAGTTTATGGAAATATTTCGTGAAACCGATCAAAATAATTCGTGTTGTGTATTTCGTAATATGAGCCATCATAATTAAAAATATTATATTTTATGATAGGAAAATAACGCTTAACTATAATATAATATTAATTAAATTGTCTGAGAAACAAAATAATACATATTTTTTGTATATATAATAAATATATTTATAACGATTTTTTTCATTTTTGTAAGAAAATAGATTTCGGTTTTTATATTATAGTAAAAGATTTATATCATCTCACATTTTTTAGTGTATTTATTCGATTACTTTTATCTCTCATACATTGTTATTTATTAAAATATAAATCAGAAACTATTATACCGAGAATTTATGTAAATCTTGAGAGGAGACATTTCTCGGAAGAATTGATTTCGCGAGTGTTCGCTGCCTAATAGAGGCAATTGTCTAGATGTCGATAGACAGCATGACGTATGTTCTGCAACGATTGCTCGCAAGTTTATGGACAAAGAAGCAAACTGTCGTCTCGATAATGGAACTGTCATTAGGGCGCGTGGGTGGCCGGCCGAGTCAAAGGCCGCTATTATTCGCGATACACATATGTTCTCTCAAACGATACAGTCCGTCATCCGCAATCATTAAAAATTAAAGAAGCCTAAGTACACGCATGTTACAGATAGCCATATGTGTCCACACCCACGGATAATACTAACGTATGATCATATATCGATCTATACGGCCACCGCAGTTTATCGCTTCGTAAAACTACCCTGCGATGCAAACGCCCGCGTTCAACAAAAAAATGTCTCGTACCCTTGTTATCAGAAGCGGGAGTATACAAAGGGAAAGCAAGAAAGCGGCGTACGAAGATTAATATTTCAATGTTGAGCCGTAGAAAGTGACACCGCAAGAGAAATACAGCATGCATGATCGATCGTCCATTCCATGTATTGGACGAATTATAGGTACGCGAGGAACTTATTTTGCAAAAAATTATAGAATCGTTATGTAAACACATAAATTCCCACTCGCAAAAGAAAGAAAGAAAAGTAACGATTTTAATCCAGGATTTTTATTTCTGATATAATTTTTCACTATAAATACATAACAATAAGATGAACAGTCGTTGTCATCCTGTAAATATTTATCCTAATTCAATTTTTAATTTAATTTACATTTTTTGTAAGCAATTGTAACTAATTTTCTGTCTCACTTTTAATAAGATTCTGCAGAATTAGCTGTATGATGTAAAGAAATCAAATTAAGTTCAGTTTGACGTATATCAATCTAAAATCTTACTTTGAAATTGTAACAACTATTATAATGATTTATAGGAACATCGATTATCCTGTACTGTATAAATAGATAAATTAGATTTTTATCTATAACACTTACGTAGATTATATATATATATATATATATGTACATTTATATCTATACAATATACATATGTATATATGACTCATTTACTATAAAGTAACTTAAAAATTATTTTTGAACTGCTTTTTCAGAAAAAGAACGGAAAAGAAAGAACATACTTGTATTCCTCTATAGTCAGTTATTAATTATTACATCAAAACTACATTTTAAAATTATGAATATCACAACATTTTAATTACTTAAAACTGATTTTCTGGAAAATTTTGTTCGTGAGTTGTGTTATTGTTGTAACAAGTAAAATAAGCGACATGTAAACTACGTTTTTTTCATATTAGGGAGTTTTTGCAATAACGTGAATCCAGATAGAATAAACGTTCACGTTATCCTTTTCTTAATTAGTTGTTAAGAAGAAGATAATGTGACCTTAGCGTTTATCGTATCTGGATAAACGGTATTGCAAAAAATCCCTATTGTTGATTTCGGAGACTACTGTATGTCTTGATAAGTATCTCTGCGTTCTGACTACTATAGATTAATGTTTTATTTTATACATATATATATATCTACATTACGTGTAAAATCTTAATTTATCTATTTATGATAGTCAGAGCAATGATAGCCTCCGGTACCAACAATATGAAAAAAAAAGTAGTTGTTTACAGCAGACGCTCACTGCTGCTTTGAACGATTTGAATTTATGACGACACACCGACATGCAGGAAGGACGCTCTGAAATTCAGATTTCAATGCTTATCTTGAAGTTTATTTCACATCGACACGGTCGCTATAGTATCAGCGCCATCAGCAAGCCTATATACATCACCGCCGATTGCATCATCGTGTGTGCGGGCGAACTTCATTCGTCATACACGCCGATTTTTCTCCGATAGCGCCGGTTCTGCGCCCCGAGAAAGAGCTCAGCCGACTAAGGGGAAGGAAGGGAAGGGACAGAAAGGGGCGCAGATTACATCTGCACAGCCGTGTCGCATGTTGCACCGGCCAAGCCGGGCGGCGCAACGTGCGGCGACTCCGTCCGTCCGGTCATTATCGGCGAGTTATTATTATTCTACGGTCGGCCACACGCTCGCAGCGTGCGTCTTTCACGTACCGCGATTCGCCCCGGATGAGGAAGAGGCGGAGGACGAGGATGCCGGAGGAACGCGGGACACCCCGAAGAAAAGAAAGAGCGGCATGCTGACCCGCACGGGTCATTGACGGAGAAAGAAAAAAAATAGACGCCGCGGAGAAGGGAAGAGAGAAAAATTGCCGAGAATGAACACACGCTTTCGAACTAAACATTCAGCGGACATTCGAAGGATCTTCTTGAGAGATCGTCCTTACTTTTTTCTGCGCTTAAAAGAACGCAATCGAGAATACAAAGGAACATTTCAGGCGATTACATTATTCAATTTGCATTTGATATATACTTCGTATAAAATTTTGAATAATTTAGAATTTATATTATCAATAATCTTATATGCTATCACGTGATTAAATATTATGGAAGGACATATGTTAATTAATAGATATTAAGAAATTTAAGTTATAAATTAATATTAATTCTTCAATTAACAATAAAGACAATAGAATTTATAAATATCTATTAAATTAATCGTAAAATTATGATTTTTTAAAATCAAGTTTTTACAATTCATGTAAAATTTAAAGATCTGCAGATGGCATTAAAATTATTGGAATTTTAACATCGAAAATTATATGATCATAGAAATCGTGAATTTTTATGTTCTCTAAAGTAATAAAATAGAATTAAAATAATATTTCATTCTTTATGGTCACCTAAACAGTGCAATTTTGCATTCATGGATTATCAACTAGCTTAATCGTACTGATATAGGAAAGTGTTTAATCCACATTAAAATTGAAAAAGATTAGCTGAACATTCCATCATACTAAAGTTGTTGC